ATTTTTGCATTCTGCTGGGTCGCTTTTCTTCAGAATGGGTACAAATATGGATCTCTTGCAGTCAGAAGGCTAGGTAGCTGTTTTCCAAGATCTTGGCATAAGTTAGTGAATGCTTCCAATGTTTCTTCAGCTTACTGGAACATTTTACTTGCTTTGGAGTCAATTTCTTGAGCCTTCTCTTTTACTATTGCCGTCAAAGAAATTTTAGCTTATTCCTTACCATTACCCTGTTTCCCCCAAAGTAAGACATCCCCCCAAAATAAGACTTACTTACAGTTTTGCCTCTCGCTGAAATATAAGGCACGCCCCGAAAATAAGACCTCCCCTAAAATAAGGCCCCTCCTGAAGCTACCGTAACTCTGGACCATAGCAGCAGGCGCTAACGTGCACCTCAATGTTGGCCACAGCATAGCCGGAGCAGACAGGATGTGCAAGGTCTCTTTTAATAAAACAATAAACAATAACTGTGTACTGTATTCTTCTTCATGAAAAAATAAGACATCCACTGAAAATAAGACTTAGCGCATCCTTGGGAGCAAAAAATAATATAAGACCCTGTCTTATTTTCGGGGAAACAGGGTAGTTCTTGCTCCTAGGCTCCGCACTGAGATGGTTGAATGTGACTAGTTCTTTTTGGTACAGTGACTCTGTATTCCTTCCATCTTCTTTGGATGCTTTCTGCATCATACAATATTTTAACCATAGAATTTTTTAATATTACCATTTGAGGCTTGCCTTTTTTCAGGGTATTTTTGTTTCTTTCATTTTTTTTTTGGTTTTCTGGTGGTAGATCTTTTCACATTTCATTATATTACTTTGTCTCTTGGAGCTGCCCTTTGAAATTTTCTTTTCAGCTCTTTCACTCATTGCTTATTCCATTAGTCCATTTGCTTTAGGTATTCTATGATCAAGACCCAGTTTCAGATTCTCCTCTGACATCCACTTTGAACTTTCCTCCCCACCCCACCCCTCAGTCTTTTTAACGACCTATTTCTTTCTTCATGTATAATATTCTTGATGTCATCCCACAGCTCATCAGTTCTTCTCTAATCGGTGTTCTAATGAGTCAAATCGGTTCTTTTTATTTTATGTTTTCATTGAGAGTTAATACATATATCATATCATTCCATAATTCAATCACATCGAGCAATATTGTACAACTGGTGCCACAACCAGTTTCCAAACATTCTTTTCCTTCCTGGATTCCTTGACATCATCTCTCTTTTACTTAGCACCTGCCCCCCTGCACACCACTGTACCCTTCCCTACCCTCAGGAAACCCTTATTCTACTTGCTGGGTTTCATGTACTGAAAAACAGAAAAACACTCATATACCACAAATTCAAGAGGGAAACCCCCAATGACATAACACATCTGAGATACACCCCAATACGAACAAACAAAAATATAGAAAACCAGAGAAGGTCCAGATGCACTGAGTGCGGATTAACTGACAAGGTTTTCACTGTCAAATCTTTTCTCGAGGTGAACTCAAAATCCAGGTGGGGTAACCTCAAGGTCACACTTTGACCTGTGTGGACAGGTTTTCTTTTTCTTCAGCTTCAACCTGAGCTGACATTTGGGTTCCACTGCCAGGCCCTGTCCTCATCTTTGTT